GAAACGTGTTGAATAATCCATTCGAATGTTCAATGTGTTCTACGTAATGTGGCTGATCTTACTGCCTTATAGCCAATATTGATATTAATATCCCATTGCCCATTACTATTACTGCATTGTATTTGAAAGGGCGCGCGTAGGTCACGTGAAAATAATTTACGGGTCATAAATTTGGCTGTCATTCACGCTACACCCGTAAACAGTTCTGAGATGGTATCTCAAGCGATCCAGCTTTTAGTTGATAAGAACAAGGCTAGCAGCTTGTTCAAAGAGACATTCACAGGTGGCGTTTTCACTATTTTACACGATTACTTTGATTATGGTGATAATCTCATACTTAATTGCCGTATTTCCAAAGGTCCTACTTGTCTTTATCTTTGTTTGGCACAGAGACCAGTAAGTTAAAAAACATTTTCAATGTTTGATGATAATGATAACAAAATAACTATTCATTTATAAAAGCAAAGATTTCTGAAAAGAAACATATCCTATATACAACGAGCACGTCAGATCATAAAAAAAGTAAACCAAAAACGAGAGAAGGTAATTTTGGAAGAACTATGTCAAAGACGAGCAATAGAGGAGAGCACATATGCACTAAGGTTCGCTGATTACACAATGCATTGTATTTTATCAGCCATTCAGCTTGCAAGCCGCTCACCTTTATCACATGCAGTCGTTGTAAGCGCTCGCTTTGCCTCAATATAGAGCAATTAAATCCACCTGGTTGGTTTGAGATGGATCCCTTGTTCTTTGATTAATCAAGTGAGGCAATTGCTTAAATATGTCTATATTATGGATGTTGTATGCATGTATGTATATACTCCATGACGCTTTATATGTTAGGGGGAGAATGGACGAGATACGAAACGCAATTGGAACTTATATGTGAAGTTTTGCTATATCGCGTAATGAAGGTACTAAAAAATCTATTCGAAAAAAATCTATTCGTTTTATCCACCCATGCTTATCGTTATTAATTTAACGCCTTGTTGCATTATATCGACCAAAGGAAGAACGTGAGAGACTAACTCCGCGTAAAAGAAAATTTCGAAGTATCAACGATACGTGCGATTATCAGCTAGTACAAAGACAGCGCGTGAACTTAGCCCACTTTAATGGCCAGAATATGGGTGAGCGTGTATCGTTGACCTTTCCGGAAAATGATTTCGATCACGCTGGCGACAATATTGAAGATCTTATCCTTAGCGTTTGCGTATATGCAGAAGACTGTAAGACATGGCCTCCAACGATGAGCAACGTAGTTGACGTCGATGGAGGACGTGGCAAGCAGTATAATGTAGTGCGCGAGATGTTGAATGGGATGGATCGTGACAGAATGTTATGGGTTCAGATGAGTTTATTGGACGATGGGGAATGGATCAACGATGGGGTATATGAATGGAACATGATGATGACAGAAGGCCATCATATGGCTGTCCCTTCATCGTGGAAGATGGACGTTTCGTTGGAATGGGATGTCAATTGTCATTCCAATCTTCGACCTGTCGAAGAGAGTTTACCGTTAACATATTGGTATGATGTTAAGGGTCCGGAATTCACCGTTACATATAACTACCGCGTTGCTGATTGCGAGCAAAGTGCAAAATACAGAGGGTATCGTTGTCCATGGTGTACTGGCTATGACTTTTATAACGTAACCTGTCTGTTATCTCATCTCCGTAATGCACACGTACATTTGAAATTTACTTGCAAGGTGAGATACGTGTGCACATTACCCGTCACAAAAGTTGTATAATGACTAACATGGGCTTTTTTTTTTGTCCTAGATACCAAAACAACCACCTCCTACGGATATAAATTGTCTGGTTACTTACAATGAAGACAATTGTGAATCCGATTATTTTCTTGTGGATGATAAAGATCGGTTACTTGTTCCAAAACCATTTGAATACCCGTTAATACAATATAGTGCGCCGCGAGTTGAACTGCCTCTGAACAACTGTTATCATTCACGTTCGTTTATGCCTTTCAAGGAAGACGAGGGTGGCT